ATGACGAGCAGCCCGAGCAGGTCGGGCCCGCTGTCGATCACGCCCGAGCGCAGGAAGCCACTCTCCACCAGACGCTGGAAGTTCTGCCCCACGATCTCCCCGAACTCGAAGCTGGCCAGCGGGGCGAGGCTGATCTGTCGCAAGAGCTTCGACTCCCTGGCGTATTTGGCCATAGATATCGCAATCCAGAGCGCCACCCGCCTGCGCCCCAGAGCGAGAGCGATCCCCGCGATGGCGAAGGCAGCAGACCTCGGCAACGGGCAGCGCGTGAAACTGGGCACGCGGCGCCTCCAAGCCGTGGTAGCCCTCCAGCTCCGAGCCAAGCCCGCCTTGCCAGCGCGCCCCCCCTCGGGCATGAAGTGCGACAGCGCGGCCAGCAGCTGGCCCCCCTCCGCGGCGGTGGCGCCCGCCAGAAACTGGTCGTCGAGGTGCCTCAGCCCGGCGAGGTCCAGCTCCAGGATCGGGGGCCACGAGACCTGGTGGGAACGGCAGTAGTCAGTGAACCTGTTGCACAGGCCGCGGTACAGGGCCTCGGTCGACTCCTTGACTGCAAGTCGCCCCAGGGCCGTCAGTCCCGCTATCGGCAAGCGGCTCGCCAGGAGGTCCCGCGCAGGGCTGGCTCGCGCGCCCGCTTGCGGCCCCCCCTCGGGACTGCGGCCAGCACGGCGCGGCATCCACTGCAGCAGCGCCCGTCTCGGCCGCGACGTGAAGCGCGCGATCCCTCGGCAAACGGCCGCCAGAAAACCATCCTCGGAGCCCGCGAGAGCACGGATCGGACGGGTTGAGCTCTGACGGAATCCACCTCGCATATACTCGAGAGCCCGAGGCCAAACTGGGAGCTGCAAGCTTACGAAGAGGACGTCTAAGGTGCGCAGAACGGGCACGTCCCTTCGTGGCCGCTAGGGCCAAAGGCAGGTTGTCTACCAGAGCCAACAGACGCTTCCCAAAGGCCTCCGAGCTGCGCAGAAGATGCCGAATCCCAAGTGCGAGAGCTTCACCTTCGAGGCCCAGGATATTCATGTCCTCTGAGATCTTCACGGCCGCAACTCCTGCCCAAGACGACTCCTCCAAGACATCCCTGGGGGCCTCATCGAAGCTGGACTCGGGCGCGTCGAGGATCTCCAGAGGCTGCAGAGCGGACTCGGGCACGTTGAGGAACTCCAGAGGCTGTAGCGCGGACGGAAGAGACGATGATGAGAAGATGACGGGGCCAAACGCTCTCTCACGCGCTCGAGCTCCACCTTCCACACGGCGCCGCTATATTTCGGACTGGCGCCCGATCTGTGCAACAACAGCTGGCGCCACTCTGCGCCGCGCAAGCCCCAGGCCAAACTCCGAGGCGTCAGAAGCGACGACCTGTGAGTGCCAGGGCGACGTGAGGTCCGTCTGCAGCAGCGGAAGGAGGCAGCGGACCTGCCAGAGCTCGCGCCTCACGCTCTGCCACAGCATGATGGGCTCGCCCCCCGCCTTGGCCGCGAATGCGTAGGCGGCCCGCACCAGACACAATGACTCACGTCTCAAAAGCGCGGCCCAGGTGACGTGGCCGAGGGGCACCTTCATGAGACTCCCACTGCACCTCCCAATGCGAAGCAGCTTCTCGATGGCGAGCCGCAGCCGCCACAGGCACTTGGGGCGAGTAGCCAGGAAGCGGCCCTCGGACAAGCTCAGCCCCAGAAACTCCGCGTCGCGGGAGGCGGTCTCCTGGTCGTGGACCACCAGGCCGAGCTGCACCAGCTGCCCTTTGACCGCCTGTGCCCTGCGGTTGGCCACCTCCGCGCACGTGTCAATCGCGAAGTAGTTGTCGACATAGCCCGCCGCTGCCGATGGGCCGCCGCGCTTCACCTGTCGGCCAGGCTGGCCGTCCTCCACGAGGCAGCTGGGCTCGAAACCACCCAGGCCTAGGCCACGCCGAAGAACGCCCTGGCAGGGGTGAAGCGCCCACGAGAAGCCCATGGGCAGCACGCGGAGGCACGGAGTAATGGGTTCCCCCGGCCCCACTGGCAGGTCGGTCACCCCGCAGCTCAGCAAGAACCCCGCGTCCAGGCTGGGCAGAGAGAAGTGCTGCACCATGTCGGGCGGCGCCAGCATATGGTAGAAGGCGGCCTCCAGGTCACCAGAGGAAACGTAGACCTGCTGGTCGGCCTCCAGCGCTCCGAACGCCGAAGGAGTCGGAAGACGAGTGGATGGAGCGGGCAAGAAGTCGCAGTTGATGACCCGTGTGTCGAAGATGATCCTGAGGCGCTCGTCCTTGCGTCGCACGAAAAACACTCCGAGGTCGCCGCCATGCCCATGCTTCCAAGTGAGCACTCCCCGACGCCAAGCCTCTCTGAGAAAGGTGGCGTAGTCACGAACATTGTGCTTCAATAGCGGGTCGACGTATGCGCCCCGCGGACACGCCTCAGCGCGGAGGCTCCGAGCGGCCTGGGAGGGTCGTAGCATGTGCTCCTTCCAATCCCTGAGCCACGAGGCGTCCGAGTCCCCGAGCAGGTCAGTCAAGTACACCGGCTTGCTGGAGAGGGACGGCCAGGCGATCTTGTCGCCGTCAAAGGGAGCGACGGGCCCGCCACCACTAGCGGGCGCCATCGGGGGAGCAGGGATCCCAGCCACTCCAGGGACCGCCGCCGGCGCGGCCACAGCCGCGGCAGCCCCCGCAGCAGCCGCTCCATCTCCAGGAGCGAAGGGTGGCGCAGGGGCCGCCGGCAGTGGCACTGCGAGCGCTCCTGGAACGGGAGGTGCCACTGCAGGACCAGCTCCAGCGGCTGCAGCTCCCCCAGCCGCCGCGGGCGCCGCCCCAGCCCCAGGCGGGCCTCCAAGGGCAGCGACCAGCGCGTCCACGCCCCCCGCAAGCCCAGCTGCGGGACCCACGCCACCAGCGCCGCCGGCGCCTCCCGCTGCCACGCCTGCGGCGAGGGGGCCTCCAGCGGCACCAGGATCAGGAAGCCCGTGCACTCCAGCAGGAACGACCAACACGTTCCCATCGGCCAGCTCTAGATTCAGCACCGCGGTCGGGGGTCTAAGGAACCCCGCTGCCACAGCTCGATCAATTGCACTCCATACGTCTGCCGCCGATGGGAGCTGCCGAAATCTGTGAACATGTCCGCCCGCGGAGCCAGCAGGTGTCCCGCCCTGGCCTGTCAATCTAATCACCTCGGCAACGTCGGGCCCTGGGGCGTTCGCCTCCACGTAGTCGTCCCCGTCGGGGGTCACGATGTACGACAAAGCGCCCCTCTCACCAAGCGTCAAGCGCTCGTGCCACAGCAGGGGCCCTGGGACGGGATACCTTACTAAATAGAACGAACCCGCCATCAATGAACCTGTTGATGCCGAAGCTTGCTAGCTCGAGCCTGAGCTGCCGCGAGCTCGTCAAAGTCGACCTCGATGACAGAGGCAGCCGAGACCGCCTGAGCCCCGCTGTCCAGCCTCAGCCGTTCCCGTGCGATGCAAGCGCCGGCGCCTCGTTGCAATCCTCGAGCCAGCTGCACGACACCTCGGATCACCAGCTTGCCTGCTTCCACCAGCAGCAGCCCCAACAACCCAATGCCGAGCTGTAACGTCCAGGAGGGCGACGACTCGCCTGCCGACGGGCAGGCCGGGCAAGGGGTACAGGGCGAGGGGCAGCTATGTCTCTCGCAGGCCTCCACCGCAGCCGAGATGCACTCCGCCAGCGGCACTAGGCGTCCAGAAGGCTCGCTGACCTCTAGGTGCGCGGAGCCTCCAGCAGCCGAAGGCGGCACCAGCGGCACAGCGGCAGGCCCCACAGGCGTGAGCCACAAGCGCGCGAGGCCGATGGCACCGAAGTGTGCGAGGATCGAGAGCCCAAGCCCACGGGCGAGCATGGGCTGGGGGCAGCTGTGCCCCCTCCAGACTTGAGCAAGTACGTCGACGGGACGTCGATGCGGCGATCATGCATCTGCTAACACATTACTTCTGCTTGTTAAAAGCGGCCATATGTACATATGTAGATTGAATGGCATGCGAGCAGGTAAGAGCGAACACTTATAAACTTAGTGTTGTTGCTGTGGCTATCGTTGTCTGATGTCGTCGTCCCACCCGCGACCCGCCCCGCAACACACCCACGACCCGCCCCGCGACCCACCACGCGACCCACCCGCGGCCCACCCCGCGACCACCCCGCGCCCGCCGCCTCACTCTGATCCGCAACTGTGGGGTGCTACATATTTGGCCCCGCAGGGCCCGAACCACGCACGCCACGGCGGAGAGGCGGGCCATCCCTTCACGCACTCTTGACGCGCATCATGCCTGCACGGCTGCGATGCTTAGAGAGAGCGAACGCGCCGCGGCCGCGACCGCCGCAGCCACCGCCGCCGTCGACGTCGTCGCGCTCGCCGACGAAGTCGTCGTCGTGGCCGTCGTCGTGGCCGCCGTTGCCGTCGTGTCCGTCGTCGTCCGGGCGACGCGGACCTCCAGTCGAAGGAAGGCTAGTCGAGACAACGGCGGCTCTCCCGCCAAGCCCTGTCGTTCAGAGTCAATCCTCGGCTCCCTCCCCTGGGTTTCATCCTGGCCCGTTCTTCGAGGCGGGCACAGCCGCGGCGACGAGCAGCCCACCATAGGCAAGAAAAGGTTGACAAACGGAAGGGGGAGGCCGCCTTCGACTTTGACGTCTCGAAACAGCAGGGAGGGGCCGCTCAAAACGAAAAGGTTGGAAACCGTTCCGACTGGCTCTCCTCTAAGTCGTGGCCGCCACCGTCGCCGTCGCCTCGTCATCGTGGCTACCGTCGTCAGGGCGACGGAATCATTCAGGTCGCCCTCGTGGTGAGGCTTACGGGTCCATCACTCGGGCCTCAGGCCGACCATCGGGATGATCCGGGCCCCCAGGGCACGCTCTCGGCAAGGCGCAGGTTGGTCTTGAAGATCATCTCGAGGCCACAGGACCGCCGAAAACATAATTACGAAAGCTGCCACAGGCCTCGAGCCTCGGCCGGGGTCGCCGTCGGCGCCAGTGTGCAGTCGTCGTCGGCGTCGTCGGTGTGACGGAGGTCCTTGAGGTGCACCCTCTTCGAGGACGCGCCGCTGCCAGCGGCCGCCGCCGCGGCGCTGTGCGCGGTGGGCTGCGGCGCGAGCATGGCGTCGTCCGCGGCGAGGGCCCGCGGCGGCGCCAACGGCGGGGAGGTGCCGGGCGCGGCCTCGGCGGAAGCCGTCCCCGGAGTCGGAACGCGTAGAACGTCCCGCCGCGGGCGGGTGGGATTCCGACGATGAATACGACGACGACGAGGACGACGGCGAGGACGAGGACGAGGACGAGGACGAAGACGAGGACGACACGGCGACGGAACGCTGGCGCCAGCGGCGGGGCAGCCTGGGGCGGCTTCGGCGGAAGGATTGCGGAGTCGGAGCGCGACAGCACAGGTGTTCACACGGCGGGCAGGTGGAGTTCCTGGGTGTCCTCCTCCTCCTCCTCCTCCTCCTCCTCCTCCCTCCTCCTCCTCCTCCTCCTCCCTCCTCCCTCCTCCTCCTCCCTCCTCCTCCTCCTCCTCCTCCTCCTCCTCCTCCTCCCTCCTCCTCCTCCTCCTCCTCCTCCTCCTCCTCCCTCCTCCCTCCTCCTCCTCCTCCTCCTCCTCGTCCTCGTCCTCGTCCTCGTCCTCGTCCTCCTCCTCCTCCTCCTCCTCTTCCTCCTCCTCGTCCTCGTCCTCGTCCTCGTCCTCGTCCTCGTCCTCGTGCTCCTCAACCCCTTCGTCCTCCTCTGCAACCTCCTCGGGCCGTCTGGTCCCACAGGTCTGTCGCTTCTCGGCGGTGTCCCAATCCCGGGGGGTTCTCCAGCAGCTGCGACTCACCCAGGGCGTTCCGGTGGTGCTCGCAATGGCCCGAGCGGCCACCAGCGACCCGAGTTTTTTGCCCGACAGCCACTGTCGTTGCGTCCGAGTCCCTGACGGGCATTATCTTGAATTTTCTCGCTCCGGGCGGGGGGGGCCTTCCCGACGGGGGGGACACAATAAAAATGCTCATGGACACACACATAAATACACACGAACAACAGGACTCCCCATATTTTCCCATGTTTGTATATGTTCGTCTGACCCTCCACTCCCCATGTTTTCTCACATGTTCCTGGGAATATACGATTCATTGTGTTTGTGTGTTGTTTCCCCTTCTGAATCAAGGAAGGGCAGGGGCGGAGGTGAGGTTGGGAGGAAAATCGCTGTGAGCGGCTCATGGAAGAAGGGCACGTGAGCATCCAGCTGGGTGCGTTCGGTGAGCCCCCTCTACGAGCCCCCAGTCCCGGGCCCCGCGGAACCGTCAGAAATCCGCGCGGTGTGAAAGCTATCTAACTATACGAAATCTTCGGCGCCGATCCAGCACATATGCTAGATGCCTCAACCAGCGCGCGTCATGCAATCGCGATGCGAACTCGAGAGGCGCAGGACATAGAGGGACGGCCACGGCGGCTCAGCGGCGGCCCTTCCGACTCAGGTTGAAGCAAGGCGCCGCCTGCTTGCCATTGCTCACGCACTGCTGGTTGATCTGCAGCTCGATGGGCCGATGATCTGGGAAGGCCAGCTCCTGCCGAAGGCGTGCTTTTGTGTATACAAACAGCTGGTTGAAAGGGGCGTTTCATCTCTTACTGTCTACTCCTGTTCTGAGAGCTCAACATAACAAAGGTACATTGACGGACGGGGTAGTGGCGGAGTAGTGGACAATGTACTGGTCGAGATCCTGCATCAGGTTCTGCGAGTGCCCCACTGTCACCCGCGCGGACAGCTGGCGCGCGGACTAGCAAAAATCCACGAGGACGGCAGTCGCTTGAACGCCGCGAAGAGGGCGGACCGCGAGCCATTCCAGCTCGTCGCCAGCGGGTTTGCACCGCATGATCTGCCCTGCGGAAACGCTTGCTTTACTGTCGCGCCGATTTGGCCGAACTCTCCTGGTTCCAGGAAGCGCGAACGCGCCCCCTCGGTCCACCCGCGGGGGCACGAACGCAAGTCCTTTTTTAAAACCTAGACCGAGCAGCGGCAAGAATCGATACAATGGCGTATATATAACGTATCCCAAACAACCGTTGTAGCGCTGAAAGCTCCACTTCTCCCAGGCGCGCTGGAGGTTGCACGAGATCCAGATCTTGTCCTCTAGGTAAACACGCCGGGGGGGGGGGGGGGGGGGGCTGCTAAAACGTATAAATAATATCAGAAGATATTTTAGAACGGGATGTATTCCATATTCAACACTCCCCGACTCCCCGCCTTTGGCCATGCGACCTCGCAGGCGCGGCCCGAGTTTGTTCCAAGCGATGGAAGGAAGCAGGTTCGGCGCAGGCCTCGTTGCGGCCCCGCCTTCGAAGTGAGTAAATTCGCGCGCCATGGCGCACGACAACATTACAACTGGACTTTCGAATCCTGGACCTATCCGCGGCAGCTACATTTGCAATAGCAGCACAACAAAATAACGTACTAGCGTGAACGCGAATAAGTGCATAACGTGGTATCTAGTGCTAGTGAGTTTGCCCCTGTATTGGAAACGATGGGATTATTGCTGAATGGACAAAATCGGAGCATGACGCATTTGCCAACGCAGCGAAACAATGCGGAGTTCATACGAAACGCAAACATCGAAACTTGTTTTGTTCCACGGCGCTGTTGCGCCAGATTCCAGCGGGGTATCTGGCGCAGTTGGTTCGTTTTATATGTGAAGTAATGTCGCTGCGAATCGTTATTGCATCAGCATCCACAAAACAGCAGCTATTAATACTACTGCAATTATGATGACTATTGCGACTTGCGCGTTTGCTGTGTGTTTCTGCCGGCGTGCCGAGGTTATTCGGGTGGCCCCAGGGCGCGCAAAATCCATCCGCAAGCGGTTTCAAATTGGCCTCGTTGCCCCTTGCATTTGCTCTAATTTTCACCGTCAGAGGCCGGGCTTTATTTCTGTCCCGGGGCGAAAAATAAGCGCTAGTGGCCCTTTAGTCGAGATAGTGATTTGCCAGCGAAGCAACCATAATTATTACAAGTGGTCTGACTATTACAACGTGCATCGCTACCTGGATGTTTCACCTGGGGGCCGCAGGTTTTCCAATGCCCAAGGGAGTTTAAAAAACCACCCGGAGGTAACTCCGAATTGGTTTTGTCTTTCCAGTGCGTTCGCTGCAACTTCCACAATTGATTTTTGCTCGGAGGTACCTCCGGCGGCCGAAGGTTTTTGGGTTTCGGTGGGAAAAAAATACGCTAGCGGCCCTTCATTCGGTATCATGATTTGCCAACATAAGAACTCCAATTCCTATTGTCATTATTATGATCGTTTTTACTTATACCGCCATTGCTACTTACTTCTCGCTTCGGGCTCCCAGAACAGAGAAAAACCTTACTTGATTCCTTTCTAGACTCTAGAGATCATGCTTCATTGCCGCTAAATGCACCGCGAGCGCTGGACGCTGCAGGGGGGCATTCCCAATGCCTAAAGAGACCCGCGGAGACCGCCGTGGAGGAGCTTCAGAGAACTTGCGGGGGTCTCGGGAACTGCCGGGAGGGAGTGCGGACAGCCTTTAGCGATTTCTTGATTACAATTTCAATCCTGTTTGTTTTCGCTTGGGTCAACGTCAACTACGATGCAAGCGCCCTCGACGGCGCGCGGTGCTTCGCCGAAAATCATTTGGTCTCTGTCCACAAGCATATCGCATCCGAACTCTCTTTGTTCGTTCATTCTGATTTCGCGCAAATCGGATGGACCCAAGCTGCCGCGAGAGTCATCTGGTCTTCAAGATGCAGTGCGCACGTCGCTCACACCTTTTGAAGCTTTGCATCGCAGAACAGTTCCATTGAAATTGAAAAGACTACGGATGTGTTCCGTGAACGAGTTGGGTAAGTCTGCGAACGCCTCCGTCTCTCCAACGCGAACCAGCGCAATCGCCTTGGGCCTGGCCCGAGTTCCCCCACGAAAACAAACTTCTCTCTGAATGCGATTGACTTCATCACTGGACAACAGGTCCTAGCTTGCATGCTTGATCGTATGGTCAAATCCGTCGAGCCATATACCTTTCGATCGGAAACTCTGGGAGCCTGAAATGAGATTGCACATGTGCGCGTCAAATAAACATGTAGATAAACATACACACTCAGGCCGTGCCAAGAAATGAAAAGCCTTCTGAACTAGCTCACCCAAGATGGCCGGCTCCCGTCTGCCACCTGTCCAAACATTCCCGCGGTCGGCCCGTCTCCCGCATGGACTGAATACTGGAACATGTAAAGTGCAAGTGGCTGCGCTGAGAAGAAGAATGATGCGCTGTTCATGTCTAGCTCGAATAGTGCATCCGACAGGAACGGTGCTTTCATGTGCCCAGATGCTGCGAGAGTTCTCACTCATTGCTGTTCGAAGCGCGTAAACTGGGATAAGTACCGCATGCAGGCGCGCGCGCCGCGACTCGACTCGTCGAGCTTCGCCGCAATGGCGCTCTGAATCAGATCGGAGAAGCGCGGTAAAATGATCGGTGTCACGCGACAGAGACATTCGCATGCGAATCGCTTTGTTTATTCTCAACTCAAACATGTCTCTGCAAAAGCTCACTCGGCTTGTCAACTTTAGATACAACAGCGCGCGCGCTTCCGTTCCATCATGCGCAACCATCTCTTGAAACCTTAAACCGCCAGGATGAAATTGTGAAGCGTGCAAGTAATTACTACTTCTAGTATCTAGTAGCTTCTGTACGTAGGTCTTGCTCCTCTTCCTGATGCAAACTCGCTGCCTTTGTACTTCGGCCCATAGTGTGAAACGCAATGCGATCTCGGCGCACAAGTGCTCCGCAACCCTGCCATCGTTTGCAATATGTTCTCGGTGTTTTTTCCTCTTTGTCCATTTTGCTCAATCCAACAAATTTGTTCGACTGCATCAGACGCTGCCACGCGCTTGCTCGTGCGTTTAGATGACGCACCGCCTCGCAAACGAAGAATTAGTAGCATTCTGAATTATTTCAGGATGTTGTAAATCGACAGCGGTGGCCCGCTCTCCAGCTGCGTTCCTGCGAGACTCAGTCGCTGTTGCTCAACGGGCACACGGCCCGCATCTTGGACTCTGAATTTGACGTGGTCGACAGCGCAACAATCATTCAAGGTCCGTGCGATCCTTTTCCCCCCGAGGGTCTCCGCGAAAGTCCGCGCGTCAGTTGGGTCGACTTTCATCGCGACACCCCCCCCCCCCCCCCCCGCGTCGCCCCCAGGCGAGGAGAGAGGCGAACGCAAGAGGGCACGGGGGAGGAAAGGTGAAGAGGAGGAAGGAATGACAGATCAGAAAAAGAGACAGGAAACCCAAACAGAAGGGAGGATAGGAAGGTGGGTGCGTGTCTCTCGCCGCGTGAACCAGCGCGCGTCCTCGAATGGATCGTCGGTCTCGCCCTCGTCCAGACGAAGCAGCGCTTGCAGACGAATCGCCCATCCAAGTCTGGAGCGATTCTTGCCCCTGGAATATCGAAATCGCCGCCCGTTAACAATGCTCGCTCGCATTGCCGACTTTCCGAGGGCAAAACGTACCATCACAAGCAGGATGGCGGGGGGAATGCCAAAGCAATGCGTAGAACACATCGCGTAAAGCATCGTGAGATACAGGAAACACCGAGATGAGGTGAACGACGGGCCCTGCGCGGAGGCGGCCGGTGGGCGCGGCGGAATCGTCGACGCGGACATTGCTTCCACAGGAAAGCGGATTCCCAGAGCAGCCGTTCCTTTCAGGGCGTTGTGGGAGAATCCAACTTGACGGTGACTCTCGAGCCTGGTCATATAACAACGATGATAATGCCGAGCTGGATATCCAGGAATAGTATGCTGACGCGCTATATGCTTTTGCTCATCCTCCCATATGCTCCCGTCAGATAGTTTTTGATCTTCGTACTGCGCCCATTTTTTATGTATGTATAAATTTCAAATATGATATATATATACCATTGTTGGGCTTCTTGGGCTCTCTTGGGAGGTCTCTCCGGGATGTTTTGAGGCATCTTGCGAACGTCTTGGGCCGTCTTGGTGATATCCCGGAGGTTTAGATCCATTGCCCTCAAATATGAAGGCCTGGGTGGTGCTCGAAACCCGCTATCCCCGCGTCTGGTGGGGGGCGAACAGGCGTTCGCTCCCGCCGACCCCGCCGTGGGTGGGTCACAAGCGTGGGCCTCTTCTCCTCCTCCTCCTCCTCTTGCATCCTTCCTGTATTATTCGCTCTCATCGTCATCGCAATGTTTACCCTTGCATCAAGGTCAAGGTCAAGGTCCCGTGCGAGCACGAAGCCCGGTCCGATACCGGACGCGGAGTGACACAATTACAACTCTCTGCTGCTGATGCATTCATGATTGGGCATGGAAAATAAGGAGGGGACAAGGGAGGGAGGAAAGAACGGAAGGAGGGAGGGGGGGGAGTCAAACTGCAAATCTGTCCCACGTCGTTCGTGGCCTGCCTCTGTAGCGCTTCGGCTGGGCAGGCAGCTTTGCGTCGATAGTGCCGCCTGGCTTCCAGGCCGCGACTAGACTCAGCAACGTGTTTGGGCTCAGATGATAAAGCTTTTCCTGCAACCGGGCCTTGCTTTTGGTGAGCTCCGCGGTCCATTGCCGGATGGGTTGCGAGCTTGTGCTGCTTCGAGTCTTACCTTCAGCCGTCTGTACATGTCTGGCCAATCATCTGTGTCGAGTTTGACAGATCCCACCATGCAGCGTAACATTTGCCGCTGTGTACTTGCAAGCTTTTCAACGTCGTTCACTGTCATCGGCGCTGTCGACAAGCCGTACAAGGCCGTCGGCGCGACGGTGCTGTCGAACAGCCGGGCACGGAGGTCGAAGTTGACGTGCTTGTTCGTTAGGGCCGCCCTGAATGTGTTGAACGTGGCCCATGCACAACGAAGACGATTTGCAAGCACAGCCCTGCCTCGTTGCTTGAGGTCGCCCGGGAACCGATTTCCCAAGTATGTGTGGTAATCAGAAGACCGCACCACGTTGATGAAATCTCCAGCAGTGTCAACTAAGACCTCGGACGCGTTATCGTACAAATGCTGATCCAGGGTGAAAATCCGGCTCTTCTTGGCGTTCACCTCTAGGCCGACTCGCTGTAGCTCCTGGTTCAGCATGTCGAGTATCTCCGTGAGCTCTTCCAGACTATTTGCGTAAACAATCAGGTCGTCTGCGAATCGCACGTGGGACAGGCGTCTGCTGCGGCATCTGGGTTCGAGCTTCAGGCCGCGGTCGCGCAAGCGGGTTTGCCAGCGCCGCATGACCATCTCCAGCGCAGCATTAAACAGCAGCGGACTCAGAACGTCACCTTGACGAACACCTCTTTTGATATGGAATGTACTGTCAGCTCCGAGTCGCCCAGTCTGCTTGCTGTATATCGCTGACAATATCTTCAAGTAGGGGCGAGGAACTCCTTGAAATTCCAGAGCCTCAAACAACTGGGGCCGCAAAATACGATCAAATGCCTTCTTCAAGTCTAAGCTCGCAAAGAGGGGGGGCACGTGATAGTCGATCGCCTTGCTGACTACTGTCTCCAAAACAAGCAGGGCGTCTTCGGTGCCGCGGGCCGGCATGAAGCCCATCTGCTCGTCGGACTGTTCTTGGTAGAGCCGGTGTTTGAGGCGGCCGTGGAGAAAACGAGCGAAGATTGTGTATGTCACCCTCAAAATTTCTATCGGGCGCAAGTTGGAAGGATTAGACAGGTCTCCAAACTTTGGGAGCATGGTGAAATCCGTCTCATGCCATCCTTCGTCAACTCGTCCTTGCCGTATTAGATCATTCAAAGCTGAAGCGAAGAATTGTATAATCTCCGTGCCTCCCTTCGCAATCATCTCTAAAGCAACTCCGGATTGGTCCCGGCACCTGCCTCTTGCCATCTGCTTGACGGCGCGGCTCAGCTCTCCCAACTTACATAAATAAAACATAAATTCATTTTTCCCTCAACCTGTTTCCCGCGCTGTTGAGCCACGGCGGCAATGCCCCGTGAGGGGTTTGTATTTTACATCACCCTGAGCCCTCCTAGGAGTTTTCGGGATCTTTCGGGATCTCCTGAGACCCCCTGGCCCTCCCCCACCCCCACTCCCCCCCGGAAGCTCCCGAGGCCGCCCTGGGGCCTCCTGGGGCGGGTGGATTGTCCCCGAAAGGGCTTCCAAGGAGCGGGGCAAGGCCAAGAGTCTCGGGGCCGTCTTGGTCTTTGAGGAGAGGAGGATGGGGAGAATATGGAGGAGGATAGTGAGGAAGAGGGGAAAGAGGCAGAGGAAGAGGAGGAGAGAGACACAGATGAGGATGATGAGGAGGAGGCAGAGGGGAAATAGGAGGAGGAAGTCAAAGATAATGTGGAGGATAATGAAGAAGGGAAGGGTGAAGAGATTGGCGGAAGAGCAAGAGACGTGAGACCATTAAAGATGGAAGGAAAAAAGAGAAGGATCGTATGTGACCTTTTTCGTCCTCCCACATATACGTATATACGCACTAGAAACATCGCGCGCGCTTCGCGGGCGCTTCGCGCACGCTCAAGTTCTAGCTAGGCTTGATCGGCTAACGCATGTAGTCTCATTTTGGTCGCTTCTTGCGTCCAGGGACTCCCTTGGAGGCCCTGCGCAAGCCTCGGAATCGTATAGAAGGGAAAGTGCGGAAACGCAGAAATCATCCATTTCCTTTCGGGATTCAACGATTTGGGGCCCTCAAAAGCTTCCTGGGTTCTTTTTTGGTAGGCGAGGGGGGTCTGAATTGTGGTCTTTCGTGCAAGAGTAGACCAGGAGCCAAACTTAGCAAAACAAATGTTGGACTTCCAATTTTTTCAGTTCCTCGGCGCTGTTCGGCGCTGTGTTTTGTTTGTGCCTCGCGGGTTTTGTTAGCCGGGCCCCTCAGAGGTGTGGGATCTTCCGGACCCCCTGGGGGTTCTGGAGGCCTCCTGGAGGCCTGGAGAACTTTCGGAAGGGTGCCTAGGGCTGCGCGGGAGCGTGTTGGGCCGTTATTTACGTTCTCGGGGCTCCTGTTCTTGGGCGTCTTGGGGCCCCCCAGGAAGCCGGGAGGCGCGGTACCGGCCAGATGTGAGGGGATGTGTGGGATCTCCGAGTAGGAGTCCACTTTGAAAAAAAAGGAATTCTTGGATTTCCCTTTTATTTGTTTCAAAATCCTCGATCTTCGAGGTTGGAAGCAGGAAAACGTGAGAAGGCGAAAAACACTAGAAACACCATTGGAAATCAACGAGTTTACCCTCTTTGGGCTCTCTCAGGACGGCTCTCTCGCAGCTCTTTTGGGCTGTTCTTGGAGCCTCGTCGGGGTCTTTTTGGGGCCTCTCAGGGATTGGGGGTGCGTTGGGGGCCTCTGGGGGGTCCCGGAGGCCTCTCGGAGGTCTCTGGAAGACTCCTGCTCCCGTTCTTGGGCCCATCTTGGGCCTGCTCTGGGGTGGTCTGGGGCTGTCCTGGGGGCCTCTTCGGCTGTCGTGGAGCCTTCTTGGCCCGTCTCGGGGCCGTCCTGAGGGTCTCTTGGGTGGTCCTGGGGCGGTCTTGGGCGGCCTCTTCGGCGTTCTTGGAGCGTTGGAAGCTCGAAAACGCGAGAAGCCAAAAACATGGAAAACAAAAACAATGAAAATCTACGACTTGGACCTCTTTGGGCCGTCCCGGGACGCCTCTCGGACCTCTCTTGGGGTCTCTTGGAGGCAAGCTGTGAGCCTCGAGAGCCGTCCGAGGGCTGACTTGGGCTGCTTGGGAGCGTCTTGGGCCATCCTTTCGCATTCTGGGGATTCCTGGGCAGCGTCTTGGGCCCTCCTGGAGCGCTGCGGAGGCTCCCCGGAAAGGCCGGGGGAGCGCCACCGGGAGCGTTCACGAGATGTTTCGGGGAGGTGTGGGACCTGGGGCTGGGAGGGGGGGGGCGTCATTTATTTTTGGGGGGACGCTATTCATTATTATTGTTAGTCATGTTATGTTTATAATTATCAACATTGATATTGTCATTATTACTTTTATTATTCGTAGTAATGTTCGTATGCTTGATATGATTGGTAATACCATTACGGGTATTATCACTTGGTTGATTATTATTGTTTTTTTTTGTGTTGATAACATATACGTATTATTAATGTTAGTATTATTGTTGTTGTTCTTACTATCAGTGTTATTATGGCCATTGTTATTATTATGGCCATGTGTGTGTGTGTGCCCGGGCGCCCGATCTAGGCGCCGCGCGCATGGGGCGCAGCTGGCGTCGTTCTCGGACGCCTCGGGTGGGCACAGCCAGACCTCTGGGGAAGTATTCGCCGTCGCCGCCGCTGCCGTCGCCGTGATCGTGGCCTTCGTGGCCGTGGTCGTCGTCGTGGGCGCCCTCGTCGCCGAGGTCAGCGTGGTCATCGTCGTCTCCGCGTTGCTGTTGCCCTCGTCGCGATTGTCGGCGACGTCACTTTCGTCGACGACGTGGCCGTGGTCGTCGTGGTCGTCGTCGCGGTCGTCGTCTTCATCGCCGCCGCCCCCGTCGTCGTCTTTGCGGCGGCCGTCGTGGTCGGAGGGAAATGATGTTGGATGAGAGGGAGGGACGAGGAGGTTTGGAGGTGTTCGGATGAGGATGGAGCATAGAGGTCCCCCTCCTCCTCCTCCTCCTCCTCCGATCTATAACACGGGCATCTTCGCAGCCACATCCTTTGGACATGAAGTGACAGGCCTCAATCCTCCCAGCTCGCGATAGCCCAACAACAGTATCTTAAGTTAGCTGGACCTAAATGCGCCACCAGAAGCAGGACCCTCAGCTTGCTCCTCGTGGGAGACCCAAGCTGGAAGCTAGCTCTGGGGCCTGCTCGAGCATGGCATTTAATTGTATGGACAGCCGCCACCAATCCAGTCCAAAGCCTTGCTTCCTTGTCTACCCTCCGTTCCCGCGGAACGGCCCTCATGGGCCAAGCCCCCACTCGTTGGGGCATCGTCCGCGGGCCCTTCGGAGCCATGATGCTGTCCTTGCATCGCATCGGCTGGACTCTAGTTTCGCCTATAGTTTTCCGGTCCCAGGAAGGCGCACAGTACCCTTTATCTTGTTTGTCGCCCGCGTTTGTCCAGAACACCATACACAAAGCTTGGATTCGCCAACTGTGCCAGCAAGCAGCCGACAAACTGGGCCACCCAGACGCCACACTAGATTTCAGTATAGCGACCAGCGTTTCAAAGAGCCCAACCCTCAGCAAACAAGAGCGAGGGAGCCTTAACCTTTTTAACTCAAGGGTGCTGAACCAAGGCCAGAGCCACAGACGCTGGCTACACCATAGATTGCGCATGCGTGTGTGTGTGTGTGTGTGTGTGTGTGTGTGTGTGTGTGTTTGGAACCTCGTCGGACTGCCTCCGCCATCGTTTATTCGAATGTCAGTTGTCCCAACCCGAAAAAATCGTTCTTTCTCGACCGATGAGCTCGAGCTCATCTTGAATCATGACAGGGACCCGCTAATCAAAGTCGTATACCAGCAGGAGCCTGACTTCTGCATCGGAGCCCCTCCAGGAACTGTATTGGACTACTGCCAGTTTTGGTGTCAGGACGACAATGTCTTTCTGGAAGAGGCCTTTGCGTGGAATGTATGTCGACGGCAGTTGTGGAACTTCCCTGCACCCTGCCCATCAGACGCCGGGCTGGTCAACAGTTTCTATGAAGAGAAGTGAACCCTTCGCGATTTGATCGTGCCAAGTTGGTTCGGATTTCCCGCAAGTGTCTGGGATGCAGAAATGCTTGCCACCATTGCTGCCTGTTCCATTTCTCCGCTCATCGAACAAGTCCATACGGACTACGCGGGAATATTAATTTCAAAGTCCAGATGGGTCGTGCCGCCGTGTCGTCCGAGAGTTGTTTCGTCATAGTCAAAGCCCATCAGGACCTCTCGCATTACTTTAACGATAATGATGCTTACAACCACGCCAAAGGTACTGACGCTGCGGACAAAGCAGCCACGCGAGCCGCCACCACTAATTCTAACATGCCTTCGGATGCCGAACAAAAAGAGCATGGCAGATCCGATCGGAATTTGTTGCGCCGTTTCCTGTCTTACGTGGCCCAGGCCCTCCCCAAATGTCTCCTTCTTGCCCCGCGCCCTGGGAAGAAAACCTTACCCAGGCCCGTCTCCCGCAACCCACCGATGGGAGCAGCCTCCGCTGCCTACGCCTGGGATCCTGGGGCCGCCCCTCCCCCTCCGAGGCCTCCCCCCTCCCCCGCCTCCCTTCGCCATTTTGGCGAAGCCCGTCGGTGGGAGTATCTTTACGGTAAGCACGTGGTCGCCCCATGCCGCACCAGCGCCAAGGATATATATATATATATATATATATATATATATATATTATATATATATATAAGGATATATATATATATATATATATACACACCAATACAACCGCAGGATCAGTGAGAGATGCCCAGGTTACTGCGCTGGCCTGGCCTCGCTAGCACAAAACCCTCGTGGGCACCGATTTTTCTCTTTTGAATACGTGCTCCATGAGAGCACGATCATCTTGTATTTTGCGTGTGGGTCGAATTTGGAAAAGGGAACCAGGGGCCGTCTGTTCAGCCCATGCCCCTGTACACCAGAGTCCAGCAATGCGTATGATCAGCTTTCGAGAGCGAAGGACCTCGCCCACCCAAAGCGAGGCTCCCGCGCAGACGAGGTTCTCACCCCCCCAATGCCCCTCGAGCTTTTCTATCGACAGGCCCTGGCGTAAGCTCAGCAGGACGTTTCGACTCCAGCTGATGGAAGTGCTAACCAGGCATTGTCATTTCCAGCTCAAGACTCCAGATAGGCCCACACCAGGGACGCGGCCTGCAGCCGTCTTGGCATTATGTACACCAGGGGTGAGCAGTGCCGCGCCGTCCTGCCGTCGCCTCGGGCATAGCATGCATGTGTTTGTGTTTGTGTTTGTGTTTGTGTTTGTGTTTGTGTTTGTGTTTGTGTTTGTGTGTGTATGTGTGTGTGTGTGTGTGTGCGCGCACCCCGCCTCAGGGGGAAGGCGCGCTTGAGTACCCACCTTCTGCGGCATAGCTGCACAGAAGGCCTTCCGAAGTGTGCTGGGCACGGGGGCGAACCTGGCTCAGCCAATCCGCCCAGACCGTCGCTAGCCCACCCCTCCTTTTCCGCGGTAGCCTAAGCCCGCTGCAAGTTCGATAGGGGGTCTTTGTATTGTCGTGGCTGGCGGTGCTGGTGTCTCGCAGCCAGCCCTGGAACTCGGGCCGTGGGGCTCCGTCAGTCAGACGATGTTGGCCGTCCTTTTCAATGCGGCGTGCTGTTTGGCGATCCCCTGTTGCACGGCCGCGGGGCGCTGCCCAGCTCCCCCACGGCGACAGTTGCACAGGGGGCCGCCCTCCGTGGGGTCTGGGCGCGGGGGTGGACTTGGTCGGCCAGTCCACCCCGACCGCTGCTCTACAACTACTCAATATGAATACTAAGTCGAAAGTGAGCCTGGTAACTCAAATAGCATCCGATTCCATGATAGACATCGGATGGCAAATAACGTCCATCGCTTTGCTGTGATAGTACAGTATGAGGGGTGGACGGATGAGATAGGATAAGATCGATGTAATGATCTTTCCAGCACATAGCGAACACTCGCGGTGTCCGGGCAAATAGGGCGCGCGTGCCTTGGGCCAAAGGCAGCGGCGCGCGAGCTATGCTCCCGATGCTGTAACATCTCCCAAAGAGCTACCCTTAAAGTCGGGAGGGGAGGAGACGGAGAGCATAGTCGCACGCAAAGATCGCGCGCACGACTGTTTGCAAAAAAGAAAACAGTGCGTACAGTCTGGCCTAACACCAGACTGTAAGGCGAGTTTCCTCGCAAAGTATTTCACGCAAATACAAGACAGCCCCTTCAAGCAATGAAGGGCTATCGGCTCAGTTAGAGGTAAGCCAAACAGGCCATACCTCACCAAGCAAATGTGTATCAAGGCAAAGAGCCTGAGTTGTACGAAGCCGGCTCGTTGCCAGGCGTGAAATATAAGGCTCGTTTCCGAGCAACTAGAAGGGCGCCTTTATAGTAGGCGCCCGTGCTGGCAAATTGGACCGCGAGGGCAACAAGGACATACTAAAATTGATTAGACTTAGGTTTGTCTCTGTCCTCGGGACCCCGAAAGGGAACACATTGCTTCACGTCATACTTAAATGACTGAGTGCCTGACATCACTTCCAGAAGCAGCTCCCGATCGATGCTTCCCTTTGTATGCCCATCTGCGGTCATACCCCTAGTATCACACCATTGCACATTATGTACTATACCTGTATCCATGAGCTCACGTATCCAGCTGATATGTCCAAGCAGAGTCCGTTCTGTAGGTATCTTGAGATCCCTGCTTGATAAAGATTTGTAGACGGACTCGGCGTCTACGGTAAGAGAGACTTTGACAGCTAGGCCTCCAACTTCACGCATGTCTCGTAATTGTCGCGGAATCAAAGCTCCTGCCTTAAGCTCGTGGAGAGTAATGAGCGTAGGGTGACACTCATCAAGGTTATGTGCGGCTGCAAGTGCCTCCGCAGCATAACTGGACCTCACCTGTAATCGGTGTGGTTTGCATAGTCCGTCACAGAGGTGAACGACGGACTTGCCTTGAGGCGAGTTTCCTCGCCGTAGTACATTGGCCCCGCGTATGCCGTAGCCCTTGGTCTCGTCATCCTCCTCCCCGGTAAGCTTCCGATACCCCGAATCGCTATGGATGTCAACTTCATTCGTCGGCTTCATCCGAGGGAAGGTGATGCGTTTCGCGCTGCTGATCAGCTTTCGCGCCACAGCATTCAAACGTCTGACTTGCAGATTGGTGGGCTCTTGAATTTTCTGAAGAGAGACCACGTATACCATGAGCCAGATTTGGGTAAGAAGGGCATAGGCAAGGGCTCCTCGCAGGCTGACGAACATGTCGGCAATGGGTTTCGTGGCTTTGGCATCGGCCGCCGCTCCTGTAAGTTCTGGGTGCGTGATAGGACGTAGTTGTTTGATATACTCGTCCTGGCCCATGATCACATCTCCTTGATCATTCTTAGTGTAGCGAACGGCGCAGTTCGTATATGTATGCTTGTTGAGCTTGCATTTGCCAAACACCTTTTCGACGCGCTGTACATAGTCGTCTATATTTTTCTCTAGACCTGCCATGTTAATATCATCGACATGTTTTGCCGTCAGCAGGTCTTGGCTGAGTTCAAATTCAGGATCGTAGCTGGTCGGTGTAAGGCCTATAGCTCGTGTGGTCGTACGAAGTTTGAGAGAGAACGCTCTTGGAGCGTCCTTTGTACCCGTTC